TACTCATATGAACTTTTTTCTTATCGCACTTGCTGCTATATTGTAAAATTTACCAAGATAAATCTGTGCTTAGTCGTTTGTAACTATTTTTCAGATATTTAAAAGACCAAAAGTAGAACAGGCCTTAGCTACGAAATTGAGAAGCCTCCAAGAGACTATAAATGTGAAGAATTATAATTTGAATATCAACGTGGCGTATGATTAACATTATGCTACTCCTGTCCTCAAATAACCTTACTTCCTATACATATGCAATTCGTTCGGTTGTGTTGAGATATCTTTCAAAGTTCTCAATGTTCGAATTTAAAAGGAAGCGATTAGCTTAGCTGAAAAAAGAAATTTCTTGAAATTTGCGAAGTACTTGACTAGTGATTTGTAGAGGCTCGCCTGGGAGATATGACTTAATTGTAATAAAAAACCAAACAGACTTCGAGAAATTATTATTAAATCTAGTAAAACTCTTTTTTCGTGTGCTTTTGCCTCTTTTATGGTCGTAATAATCGTTCACCARTCGYCGMGTTGTTGAAAATTTCGAGTTTRCATTTTCTTTACATAATATTCAAGTATCAATARCAAAAAGAAACGCTCAAACTATTGAAAATATTGCTGTTTTCCAAGCAATGTTTGCTGAAGACCGCAATTTGTCGATTCCAAGACATCTCAAGAATTGCGACCGTCTCAATCTATAACCAGGCGGGCTTAGAGAAAGGATTTTGGGTTGGCATCCATAAAAATTGTTCTCATTCAAGAACTGAAGACATTGGACCACCGTAATCTTTGTGAATTCGCTGCTTTTGCCTTGGAAGCTCTTGAAAACGATAGAGACTTTTTTAAAGAAAATCATATCCGATTAGACTCACTTTCAGCTGAGTGGTGTAGTAAATATACAAAACTGTCAATTTTAGTGCGAAGAAAATTCACAAATTATTCAGGAACAACCATTATATTCACTTAAATTGACAGTTTGGTGTGGTTTTTTATGGTGAATGGAGAGCAGTACAAATCGATAGTAACCAACCTTTTATGACCGCAAATGGAGAAGTAAATCGTGACAACATATGGTTTCAACAAAACGTAGCTAGGGGCCACACAGCATTTGCAGTAAGTGAATTATTGCGAGACAAGTTTGGAGACTCGATTATTTCAAGAAACTCTGATATAATATATATTTAACTCATTTCCTTTTAAACGATATTTTCCGTGAGCAAATTTAGCCGAAATTACAGGACCGATCGACCGGAAATTTTCCCACTACCTTTTTAGATATATTTTACCAGTGGAGATGGCCTGAAATGATTTTCTATAATAATTTCGATATTTTGAGATTCTAAAGTTTTTWTTCTTTATTTATTTTRTCCAAAATCTAAATATTGACTATTTCTTTCATTATTAGGTACCTGTACTCATCTATAGAAACAGTAAAAACTTTTAATTTTCAGATTTTAGTTAATTTTAAGCAAGAAAATATTCTTCGTTGCCAGTTATCTTTCTCAGGGCTGCTCCCCCATGCCTATCTTCGGGATCAAGTACTCCAAAATCTTTCACTGATTGCACTGGTCAGCAAAATTTTTTTGTTAAAACAATAGTCTCCTCTTCTTTTTGGTATCGTAGGAACTATACATATGTATATAAGTCAGGCCGAAAAATCACATCGGTATTATCAAAGTATATTAAACTCTGTTCTACTATGAAATCGTTTTTGCAAATTCATATAACGGTCACCGACACCTACAACAACAACAGAGTCGTTGCAGACAGTTTTCATGCAATTAGCAGTGAAATAACACAAAACGCCTTAAATACTTTGCATCAATGGATTATTAACCTCAGCTTCTCACTACTGAGCAGCAACAATAACAAACTTCATTTGATGACAGCGAAAAGTCAAGCAACGACAGGTCGTCGCTCAGTCTGGGCACGCAATGCAAATTGCAACAATAATAACGAGAAATGTGTACGCTTGCACACTCGTAATCAATTTTAGTGAAGAATGTTGAGATGCACGCCAGCCTGTGCTGCAACGGCATGTGGGGCAGGCGGTGACGTCGCCACACTAATTGAGCACCCACAAGCACAGCCGACTGCGACTAAGCGTGGACTCTGACTCCATATTACGCAGACATATGTTAAGGCTTGTAACGAAACATGTGGGGGCGTGGTGGTGGGAGAGCTGTTGGTGATGCTTATTTAAGCGCGAGTGGCGTTGATTGTGTTCAATTAATRAAGGCAGGAAATTTCAATGCAGACACATGAATGACACGACTGGACGGAAAAAATGCTACTTCGAAAATACTTCACAAAATTAAATATGTTTATTGGGCATTTCACTTGCTGCTGGCATATTCTTATATCATTTCGTTTTGTTTTTATACTCTCGCAACAAAGTTGCTAAAGAGAGTATTATAGTTTTGTTCACATAACGGT